TCTACTCGAAATGGAAGTAATCCCAACAACTATGAAACAAGAGATTCCTCGAAACCCAACTTTTCTTCAGTAATATTTACTTCATTTTGATTCGTCAATGGGACATATTCTGATGAATTTGGCCCAGAGCCGTGTTACCATCGACACCAGCAATCCACGGTCCCCAGTGCCGGTAAAACATTGTATGATAAATGAGAGAGGAGATAAGTAATAGAGCCAATTGGTCCAATAATGGCAAGTTTCTCAAAAAGCACAACTTGGCCGTTAAATTTGGAGTCTAATATAATTTAGCATCGAAACTTGAGGCGAGCTTAGCTCTTGCGGTCCAGGTATATCCATCAACTGACTCTGAAAGATAAGAGAGCTTTTTACTATTTCGACCTCCTTACCTTATATACTTTCTTGTGACATGACTTTCCATTGCTAACGAAAAGTTGGTTGAGAGATATGATCTTCACCGGCAATAGAATGTAATATGATAAAATGTCTATCCTTCCTTGAAATTCACACTCGTAACAACATGGGTTACATGTCGAGAGTATGCACTGCACTGTCATGTTTCGGGTCCCGCTTGGGATGTTGATAAGGTCTATGCGAGATCAAAACTGCAGTCCGCCCTGGATGAGAATGCCTTTTGGGAAAGCAAGATTGTGTGAAATGCAATGGATACGTCAGCTTTACTCATAGGATTGTGGGAAAATTTAACTACTAGTCTTTCATTACAGAAATACGTGAACGCATCGCATATATCTCATTTATGGTAGTCTCGAAAACTTACTAAAAATGAAAAAAATAGCACGATCAAGTCGTGCACACATTATCAATGTCCACTGTTAGATGCTGGAAATTATCATGAATGCTTTGCCAGAGGATGAAAGACCAAGCACATTCCACAAAGTCTCCCGGTCGCTTTGACGAGGTTGTGAAGCTGGGGTTCTTAATGCTTCTTTAAACAAGTCATAATTGTGAAATGTGCTTGCGCCGGAATGCACTGCACTGTCATGTTTCGGGTCCCACTTGGGATGTTGATAAGGTCTATGCGAGATCAAAACTGCAGTCCGCCCTGGATGAGAATGCCTTTTGGGAAAGCAAGATTGTGTGAAATTCAATGGATACGTCAGCTTTACATACAGGATCGTGGGGAAATTCAACTACCAGTCTTTCATTACCTTTACAGAAATACGTGAACGCATCGCATATACCTCATTTATGGTAGTCTCGAAAACTTACTCAAAATGAAAAAAATAGCACAATCAAGTCGTGCACACATTATCAATGTCAACTGTTAGATGCTGGAAATTATCATGAATACTTTGCCAGAGGACGAAAGACCAAGCACATTCCACAGTTTCCCAGTCGCTCTGACGAGGTTGTGAAGCTGAGGTTCTTAATGCTCCTTTAAACAAGTCATAATTGTGAAATGTGCTTGCGCCGGCATGATGAAAAATTGATATTGTGGAATAACCGACCCAATGGTAATAACAAGTCATTATGTATGACATACAGTTTACAATAACGCCTTAGTTATCCCACAATTGACTCAAAATCTAGTCACCACTACTCCGCATTTCATGCTGCCTGACATTGTGCCCTCCCATAATTATCATTGCTTTAAGTCTCACATCAGACGTATCCGCATGTCATTTCTCAGGCTCCCCTTCGCTTGTGTACACGCAGGCAGACAAATGCGCAAATCGACATCCATCAGTATCAGGAATCTTAGCCAGCCAACTCTGTTTACAGTCCTACCCCTTTTGTACTGGCCTCCGACTTAAACGAACATGCCCGTAAATTATAACTATCAGTTTATCTGAATGAACTCAATACTAGGCGTTGACAAATTAGTCTCTTTCAACTCATAATAGGTCCACGCAATCTTCCGATTCAAATGCATTAGTCATTAATCACATCAAACGAGTGGGAACTTTATTTCACAGCATGCTTTCAGGATCACTTACTGGAGAGGCTTACGTTATATGCTGGTACACGCACATTAGGGCATTCACATGCTTGAGTGTATACATACGCATAAGTATTGGATGAAACGAGGGGAAGAGGGGTGGGTGGGTGGGTGGGTTTGTGGGGTGGAAACGGACGGACATATAACGCCTGTCAGAGAAACGGAGAGCGTTGTGCTAGAAGAGATGTTCAACTGATACTAGACAGTGTTGTCACAGCAACTGCTGCCTCGAGGCCCCTTCTCGATTTCGCGACCGGCCTTCTTGAGGCGGCCTTTGCACGGATGAAATAATATACGCCAACTTCTCCGATTCGTCGGCATCTCGTGGATACACCATTTAGTGAAGCCTACATGTGCTCGGGGTCTTGCTGTCAGTTGAGGCACTGACTGGTTGGTAAACATACATCCACACCAAAAAACACCCTTGTGCCACCCGAACGATGGCTTCCACCCTCCTCAGACCAGTTCTGGCTCTGCTCCTTCGTACGCTTCCCCACGGCCCCTCGACCGTCTGGTCCCCGAAACGGACCCAAGCTCAGCGGAGAAGAGGAGCTTTGACTTAACCACCTACCGTCACATCTACAAATAGACTTGCCCATTTGCGTGCGCATGAAACAGTTAACACTCTGGCATGATTAATAATTTTACACAAGTCATGGCAATAGTGATACTTTTTCAGGGGGAGGTCCGGACGCGAAGAGGCGTCTGGACAGGGCGAAGAAGCTCACTGAGAGCTAGACTGAAGAGGCTACGATAGGGATCTGCTGGGAGTGAGGACCCCCGTTGGGCAGAAGATAACCGCATCTGTCTTTCTCAATCGCTCTGCGCTCTCAGCCTCTCAGTCTGTTTCTCACCGCAATTGGTGACAGTGGTTAGTTATCGTGGTGACACGAGTGATGGAAGCAGAACTTTTTGAAATAGGACATAGAAAGAGATGAAATGTTAGCCTCCGTTTGTACAGGAGGCTTGTGGACTGGCACGTGTATGAACCTTTGCGTAGCCATGACAGCGTTCGCATAAATAGTAGACAACTTGGCATATTTGCGTGTAATGCCTACTGAATGGTAAATGTGTGTTGCTGAGCCCGCGAGTCAAGTGAACAACTATGCCCAAGCTTGAGCATGAGGCCTAATCTACACATTCCAGGACAGACACAGATGCAATAACTCACTACTAAAGGACCTTTATTTGACTTTCCAACCGTAGGACGAGGAGAGAAAAGAGGAGGCAAATATAGTGATTGCTAGAAATGGCAGACATTAACGACTCTCATCAAGTAGAGCTACTTCGAATTGATGAAGCCAATTTCTCGTCTAAGAACTTAACTTCCTCAAAACTACATTTATGTCTGAATCCACTGTTGGCTTTATACGGTACCATTTTATTTGGTCCCGGTACTTCCCACAATTTAGCTCATCCAACTAAACAATGACTGATACCGGGGTGGGTAAATTTTAGAGGCATGCTTTAACTGCTGGCTTCGCAGATACATGTACATATAAAGACACATACACATACACTCAAACAAATTCAAATAGATTGAAAAATGACGTAAAACCATTCAAATC